TGTTCAGTACAGAAAATATCTGTTCACCTTTCGTTCCAGTAGGAATATTCAAGCAACATAATAAATCCTCCACAAATTCTGTTTCCCAGACGTACCTTATGTATACCAACAAAGTTGCGCAGTCCGAGACATCGGTGCTTTCATCCAGCTGGATTGAAAATTCCCCTGCCGCCTTCAATCTTGTTATGAGCTGCTCCTCAAGATTGTCTGCAATTTCATTTATCCTTCGGGAAACAGTGTTGTTGCTCAGGGGGATGCATTTTAATTTTTGTGCGGTTTTTTCATCAATAACCGTGCTAACCATGTCTATTGCGGCAGGCAGAATTAATTTTTCTGCAGCAGTATGGGGCTGCTTCTCTTTGGCCACACGGTAAGAAACCATGTATGATGCTAACTGGGCTTTGTCATTTAATGTCACATTTCTACGGAGAAGCTCAGCTGATGATTCAATCGCCTGTGCCTTCCTTTGAAAGAAATCCAGAGGTTTTTTTGCCAACTCGAAGTGATGTGTTTCCAAATGTCTTTTTAGTTTAGTTGGTTTTAAACTCTCATTTGCGAGTTTTTCGCTGCATATAACACACATGGGTCGAGCTTCTTGGTTCGTTTTGGAATAATTAACAAAACCATATTTCAGGAAGTAGTCTTTATATGGCCTTGTTTTTCTTTTCTTACTTGGAGGCTGTTCTCCCAAATCCTCAGAAGTACCTGCTCCGGCGTCTGGTCGAAAGCATCCACGGGTGCCGCTTTCCTCACATTCTTCATCATTATGGCGTTTTTCACTTGAAGTAGCTTTGCTAACATTAGCTAGTCTAATTTCACTCTGGCCTCCCTCGGGGACGGTATTTTGGCTGCTGGCAGTGTTAGCCTGATCTTTAGCTGGCTTTTCTTCTTAATTAGCCAAGCATCCATTTTAACGGTTGATTGCGAGCGCAGAGCGCAGCTAAACAGAAAAAAAATATACAGAAGAAGAAAACGACGAGCTCCCTCGTGCGGCTAATTGGTGAACTACATCGAGATTATATATAGCACACTGAAAAATAGTGCTCGACTTGGCGACCCATTCAAAATCTCCCGCGACCCACTTGTGGGTCGGGACCCCGCCTTTGGGAATGACTGGTGTAATGCATAATCATGACCGTTGTTGAAGCAACATTATAAGACTTCAGAGAAACATTCAAATATTACAAAAGGTATTATGGTTAATATTAATATGTGATGTTAATGCAAAAAATGCAAATATTATGAGCAAATGGCATGATATAATGATACGTGTCATGTGGGATAGCATTTGCTTTAATGCATTCTCAGCCGGAGGATTATTGTGAATGTGTTGGTGTGGCTGAACACATGTCCAGCGATGGGCTGACAGTGGAGAGATGTGGGTCAGTCTTGTCGTCACTCAAAAGCGGACGGTAGAGTAAGCGGATGTATGTGCAGAGCTGCTAGTGAAAAATAATCTTCTCAGAAAAAAAACCCCATAAAACATTGCAATTTTTTTCCCTCAGCTTTTAATCTCCCTGAGCAAGAGGAATGTAGTGTTACATAACAGCTCAGCAATCTGAAAATAAAGGAACAATGCGGAGGCCACATGCGCTGATTTATGAATGTTTGTGTGTGCTGGTCGTATCTGTTTAATACACATTGTCTATGGCATAATCTTTAGTGCTTGATTGTGACATAAGATGTATGTATGTGCATATATGACAATTTAAGGAAGTATTTGTATCTGTCTCGGACCTTTTTGTTTTTTTCAGTAAACAGCTAAACCAAAAAAATCCCATTCCCTTTCGTAGTCACTCCGAGTTACGTCGGATGACGGAGAATGGGGGTTTCGCCTAGAAAGCCAATCCTCTTCGAGTATTAAAAAACGAGCCAATGGCAAAGAAATGCCATGGGTCTGCGGAATTTGCATAGCGGATCTCCGCCTCACCCCGTGAGTATAAAAGGAGGAAGCGGCCACCACCGCAGTATGTTTTCGCTTCGGAGCCAAGAGCATCTCTTCACTCCACAAGCCACAATATCTGAGTTTACAAGTGACTCACCTCTTCGAGACGAGCGGCTCTCCAGTGTTGGTGTGACGGCGGTACCCAGCGAGTCTTCACTTTGCCTGCGGTCTGTGATGCGGTCCGCCGGACTCTGTGTTTTCTCCCTGGTCGCCTCAGCGCTGTAGAGCTTCCTCTCCTGAAAGAGCTGCACGGTGCGCGTCTTTTTAAAGATGTCTCGGCCGTGTTTTTCTGGTTGCGGTCTATATCTGTCATCTTCTGATGGGCACGAGTGTTGCCTAGTGTGTCTGGGCTTTGAGCATGCAAAAGCAGCACTCGTGGATGACTCATGTTCCTGTTTTGTGGGAACATGACCATCGCTACACTGAGATCTAGACTCTATGATCTGAAGTCCCCGCATCCACCACCCGTTCTGCCTTCTCTAACAGGGCTAGTAGTTTGGCTGGGGGACCGGGTGATCTGAGGGTGACGGTGTGGAGTGATCCGACGACACGTCCTCGGACCACGCCCCCCTCTCCAGTGTCGCAACCCGCGAGTGCCGCGGTGATTCAGGTGGGGCTTTCTACGGAGGTCCCGCGTGTTTCATTCGGCGTTCCAGAGGAGGGCGCGATGTCGATCGCGGCTTCACAAGGCGAGCAAGAGTCATTGGGACTCTATTCTCCTGGTTCCTCGCTGGTGGATCATATAATTATTTTGTCATAATCTATGACAAAAATGCTATTATAAACTATATTAATGGATTATACACATTGCTCTTTGTATTGTTGAAAAATACATTCATGAAAAACAAGATAACAAAAATCAAAAAGATATAGTCATGGCTACTATAAAATTGCTACTGAACATTTTTGAAATGTATAGCACAGATGTTTAATGACGCAGCAACACATAATTGAAAGGCAACTAATAATCTGTCATTACGTCACTGCATTATGATATTAAAGGCTCCAATACAGTGCAGCACAAAGCGCGTATGTGCATCCCGAGCGGAGAATGATGTGCTTGAAGCCACATTGAAGTTACAGCGTGTTGAGTCCGCATTGAATAGTTCAAAGCACAAAGGAAATACATATTTATGAACAGTCTATTATACATTATCTATCTATGCAATTAGTTTATTGAGCCTTTTCTTTTAACGGTTTAAATTTCAGTTACTGTGTGCGTGAAGAACAATTATAGTGCTCTGACTCTAGTGTTGTGATCTAACCGACAGCGTCCAACACCCGGTAGAAAGTAACACGATTAAGTTACAGCAATAAAGTCCAGCAAGAAAAAGTTTCTTCATTCGAAACCATAGACCTTTAGACCTTTATCTTAAAGATCAAGTATAATAGGATTAACATTGAATCATCTTGAAGATCGTTTCATCATTGACGGCCAGCATGAAGTCAAGACATTGAGGATGAAAGTTTGCGAGGGGATTTTTGATATCTCAAACGGTTTGGCCGTGGCGAGGAAACGGAATTACGGTGAGAAACGTGAAACAGGAAGTGTGTTATAACTTCAGCATACATTAACTGATCTTGATGAAACTTCAGCAGTGTGTTCGCTGTAAGAGGACGATCACATGGATATGACTATTGTGAGTCAAAGTTATAGCGCCACCAACTGGCAGCAGGAAGTGTGTCACTTTCAAAATGCTTTGAAATCACCCTTTTATTTTTACCCGATTTGCTTCAAACTTCATCTGTATAATGTAAACATATGGCAAATGTAGACCGGTGAATGGATTCTTGATATCTTTGATACTGTTGCCGTGGCAACGCATCAAACTTTAACATTTGTTTTAGGATGCTTTTGAGACTCTTAGCATGCTTGAAATTTAATGAAACTTGTCAGACACATCACATTTATTAGCCAGTAGACATGTGCAAAGTTTCAGAAACGGGCGTGGTGAGGGCTCAGTAGCGCCACGTTTTGACAAAAGTGGGGTTGTTAGTTTTATCTACAGTTACAAAAATCAGTATGTATATTGTACTCCTCGAACCGGACAACTTTCTAATTGACACTCATTAGCTAGGACCCACAGAAAGTCAGATATGTTTGTTTGAATGTGGTCATGCTCTCTCTGAGCCTACGTCTCTGTCTCTGTCTTGTCTTTGTCTTTGTCTGTCTGTGTGTTTGTTTGTAGGGGGAGGGGGCTTAACCATTTCACTGCTGTGTGTCTGGCCTCCATAAAATTCTTAATTCTCCATACATTTCTTAAGCATTTTTATTTATGAAAGCGCTATATAAATGCAGTCCATTTACCATTTTACCATATAATTAGTTTATTAATTAAATTAACTTGGTCCATAAACTTGATCTGAAAATTTGGTCCATAAATCAAACACACTTGCATGTAATAATATGAAACTCGGTATACTTATAGATCACATCAGGCCAAACAACTTTCGTGCTCTAAGTTTTAAGACAGTTCAAATGGAAGTCGGGAATTATGCGTTTGCGTTCAAACAGAAGGCGTTCTGGCAATTTCTCTGCAATTTCCTGGGATCAGCGCGCTGTGTGAAAGTCAAGTCAAGTCAAGTCACATTTATTTATATAGCGCTTTTCACAATACAGATTGTATCAAAGCAGCTTCACAGTGATAACATGAGCTTTACTAGGTCCCCAACCCGGGATCGGTGCCGGTATCAATCCTAGGAGCTTTACTAGGTCCCCAACCCGGGATCGGTGCCGGTATCAATCCCGGGTCGTGTTTGCATTCACACAGAAGGTGTTCTGGCAATTTCCTGGCAATTTTCCGGGATCTACACGCTGTGTGAAAGGGTCTTTATATGACTGACTTTCTTCTATGGAGCACAAAATAATATAATTGGAAGAGATTAGGTATGTCAACAAAAATCTATGGAGTCAAATGTTGTTTTGGACTCTTTTGACTTCCATTCTATCTATGTACAAAAGACACAGAGAATGGATCACTTAAAATGTTTATGAACTTAAAAAATAATATGTACACAAAAGTGATCTGCAACCTCTTTTCTATCTCTGTTGCAGTACTTACACGAGAATGGAGTTGTTCACAGAGACCTCAAACCAGAAAATCTCCTTTATGCTGACTTGTCAATAGACGCACCTCTTAAGATAGGTAACAAACTGTATACTCATACATTTAATCCATTATGTCTTTGATGTGGAAGAAATGAGATGGAACATTGTACTCTGTCAGTAATGAAAGGATTTTTATTGATCCAATCTTTTCTGTAATGTCCACAGCGGACTTTGGCCTTTCTAAAATAATTGATGAGCAAGTGACAATGAAGACAGTATGTGGTACCCCTGGCTACTGCGGTGAGTCTGAATTTAAGATAGCATATTATTTCTGTTATGATATATTTCGTTTTATTTTATTTAAAAAAAAAACACAAACCATTTAGATATCCACAAGTAAGCGAATCCCAGTAAATGACTAATAAAGTTTTATAAGCCAATTCATTTGCAATAATTTGCCTCTATTCTGACATCCACTCAGCTCCTGAGATCCTGAGAGGAAACGCTTATGGCCCTGAGGTCGACATGTGGTCAGTGGGAGTCATCCTTTATATTTTGTGAGTAATACATTTACATTAATGTTTATTCATTGTGCAGACTTGTTTATCTGACTTGCAAGTATATGGAAAAATGTAAACACAAGTGCTTAATCATATGAAGTTTTTTTTTAACACTTTAGTGGCATATTAAAAGTGATAATATCAATATATAATATACTTTTTCAAAAAACAACTATGTCATAATTATTCAACCCCTATTTAACATTGCTGTTTTTAATTACTTAATTGTAGGGTTTAACATTTTGTTAAAACACAATTAAACCTTTGGAGACACTATAACAGCACTTTAGTTGTGACACATACATACAGTATATTTAGCTCATGCCAGCGTTGCCAGAAGTACGATAATGACCTCTGTTCGATGTACGATCAATAATGAAAAAAAATCCCATAATGTACGATAATTTCTGAATTTTTTGACACTTCAATTTGACACTTCAAACGGAGGTCATTGTAATTATAGTCCTTCTATACTCATTGATCTAGCTGTGGATTTACGTCATGACTGTAAGGAGAAAGTGAAGGTAAGAGAGCACGGCAGAGAGGGAAACAATCCGATCAACTAACACCGACCAACATGTTCCAGTAAACAAACAATTATATGATTAAGTAAAATCTCATAAGCTTGAAGAAGTCATACAAATCATTTAATATGTAGAAGGCTAAATATTGATTATTGAATATAACCTTGTTTATAAACACTCATCAGATATACATTAAAGCGGCAGTGCAGTGGATTCCGGAAATCTGACCATTCACAGCGACTTGTTGTAAATTAGCTCAAAAAGGAGATATATACAGTGTAATTAATTCCAATGGATTATAATTAATTATACATATTTGGATTCATTTTAGAATTTACTGTAGCAGAATTCTTATTACAATCATTTAATCAGTTCGACCACCGAACAGACAGTTACCATCAGTTACCAATTCTAGGAAATAAATTATCTTCCTGGCCAACAAAGAATAACTTTTTCCTACTATATACAGTACTAGCAGTGTGAGAGTATGTAGCAAAATCAAACATTTAATCAAACATTTACAAAATGAGAACCATCAAAGAATCAGAATCACCTTTAAAGTAGGCAAAAACGGATCTAAAGACCACAAACTGATTACTTGCATTTTAGTTGCAGAACAAGTCTAGATGCGGTAGATTCTGGAGATTCTTGATTGTTTTGCTAGAAGTGTGTGTCAGATGAGGATAATTGTAAAGTGGGTTGAGGGACAGTATGGCTTTGCTTTCATTTGTGTGGGTTTGATGGGATTGCAGTGTTTGTGTTTAAAGATATTGAGCACGTGTGATGGATGTTTATAATGAGCATGTGTGTTTGTTGACATTGTTTTGTCGGAAGCCTGCAATGGGTGTGGTATGTAATGGACAATTACAGGTGGCCCCCATTGACTGAATAATGGCCACACCTCCCAATCATCACAATGATAAATTTACAGCTCTATAAAAGGTGACTGAAACCAACCATGGGGGAGTTTCCGGACGCTGTTCTTCCGTTCCCTATGCGGGTGCTCCTTGGCTGGTAATTGGCACGATCGAAGACGACGATACAACGCAAGCAAGACGAATAATTTGCCAAGCCACGCCGGATAGAGCCGTCAGACAAACCGAGGGAGTGGGAGAGAAAGACGTCTTTTCCACTCGGGAAAGGAAAGTAGTTTTTCTGCACTGGCCCATGAATGAGACTTTAAGCTCTGCTGCTGTTTGTCTTATACTGATTTCCACAAATCCTTGTTTTTGTTTGGGTCGGAGGATCTACACTGCCGGTGGCGAAGACACTACTTCCGGGATCCCCGCTTTGACGTGTCGATACTTGGCCACGCCCCCAGGGAACCCCGATGCCTCGCGATTGCCACGCCCCCGGCCCAAGTGGACTGTTACAGCCGGTTGAAGGAGCAATTTGGACAGCTGTTCTTTTGTTGTTGATTTTATTATTGTAAAGTGTTTATTTATTGTGGGAAGAACTGCCTATATAAATAAATAAATTGGTTTTACGGTTTCTAAAACATCTGTTTGGCTCCAGTTCCTGGGATTCCATTAGAGTGTAGAGGGGTGTTTTTGACACCTCCTTTTTGTGGTGTAGTTCAGCAGGGTCCCAACAACATGAGCCAACAGAATGATGATGGGCAGTCGGTTAGTGATGTAACAGTTCCACCTATGTCACCGCTAATTATGCCCTGGTTTTTCAGTGCGTCCTGGGCCCCTAAGTTCACTGTAGAGCGACGTAAGTTTGGAGAATGGCAGACCCAGATAAAAGCCATGCTGCGCGCCCAACCCTTGAATGCCCAACAACAGGTGGACTTTGTCTTGAGCACACTGGATGGAGAAGTCGGGGAAGCAGCCCTCCTACCTGATGCGGATCGCGTCGACGGTGAAAAGGTCATTGAGGCCTTAGGGAGGATATTTGGGGATACAGCCACTCATGCTCAGCGACGTGCAGAGTTCTATAAATGTTACCAGGGTCCAGATGAGGGCGTCAGTCTATTTAGCTTGAGGCTACGAGAATGCCGTGCTAGGTGGCGCGCCACTGAAAGGAATGCCGCCATGGACGAAGATGCCCTATTACGTGACCAACTGGTGCTGGGTCTTCGGACAGGACCGGTACGACAGGAGCTACAGCGACTTTTGCGAAGAGATGAGGGGCTGACGTTTCAGGCTGTCCTGAGAGAAGCTCGGGTATTGAAAGGGAGCTGGACAGTCCCCCTGCTGAAGCGGAGGCTCATGCTATTCGTACTCAGATAGTTTCTTCCGATGTAAGGGGTGAATGTAAGTCTGACCTGGTTGATCTCCGAGAGAGCCTGAAGTCTGAGCTGCGGGATGAGCTGGCAGCACGGTTAAAGACCCTTAGTAGCAAATTGGTAGAAGAACTGCGAAGAACTGACTCTATTCAGCGAGACCCTGTTTAGGAGCCAACTCCAGGAGACCGTCCTTAATACGATAGAGGAATCCAACTTGTTGACACTGAAGGCAGCCAATGGACTACGAATCCCTTATATAGGCTATGCTATGATAGACTTTAAGGTAGGAGGGGTATATATTCCCAACAAGGGTGTGATCACTGTTGAAGACCAGTGTTTGGGCAGTGACAGGGTGGAAAGAACTCATGTAGGGTATCCATCCAGGGGTGGTGGCCTTCTGGGCTGCGGTAGCGCCAACTGAAGGTAACTTGTGGGAGAAGGCCTTTGCAGTATGTCGACGGATACAGCAGAAGGGGCCAACAGCATTGGGACATGGGGTGTTGAAGCTGACTAAGCAGCCTTCTGTTGTTATTCTTCAGCAGACAGAGATGGTCCTGTGGTGCCAAACAAGTGATGAAGTGCCTAGAGACAACTGCACAGTGCTGATTGAGCCGTTGGCAGATGATGAGTCAAGTTGGCGTACAGCACTTGCCATTGCTGTAGTACAGGATGGCCACCTGCCTTTGAGGCTCTGCAACCCAACCATGTTCCCCGTAGAGGTCCCTCAGCGTCGGCCACATGCAGAAGTTACCCCACTGCCACCTGAACACATAGTTGGGCAAAGGGAGCTTATACTGACACCAGGCAGTCCTGGAGTAGTCGAAGTGGGGGTCAGCACCCTCTGTACCGGTCCCTCCACCTTACCATCTGGCCTGGAACAAGAGGTTGCTGCATTGAACCAGCAGCAGCGCCAACGACTACATGAGTTGTTGATGAAATGGGGCTCGATCTTTGCAGAGCATGATGAGGACTTTGGCCACACTAATATCGTGAAACATCAAATCCACACCGGGGCTGCCCCTCCTAGCCGTGAGCGATACAGACCAGTTCCACCCTTGCTGTATCCTGAATTGAAGAGCTTGCTGAGGAATATGCTGGATGGTGGGGTCATCAGGGAGAGTTCTAGCCCGTGGGCTGCACCAATCGTACTCGTAAAGAAAAAGGATGGGTCTTGGCGATTCTGTGTAGATTACCGAAGGCTGAACTCTGTCACACATAAGGATGCCTGTCCCCTCCCCCGCATAGAGGAGTCTCTGACTAGTCTCAAAGGTGCCCAGTGGTACTCAACTTTGGACCTGGCCAGTGGTTATTGGCAAGTTGGGGATGGACGAGCGAGATATGGAGAAGACTGCCTTCACCACCCCCTAGGGTTATATGAGTTTGAACGTATGCCCTTTGGGCTTTGTAACACACTAGCAACATTCCAAAGACTCATGCAGCACTGTCTTGGTGAATTGCAGAACAAATCCCTATTAATATACCTCGATGATGTCATTGTCTATTTATCAAGCTTTGACCAGCACCTCCAGGACTTGGACAAGGTGTTTGAACGACTCAATAGCTACGGCTTAAAACTCCAGCCCAGAAAGTGTTGATTATTCCTCAAACAAGTGGCCTATTTGGGACATATAGTGAGCTCGGAAGGAGTAGCTACCAACCCTGAGAAGACTTTAGTCATCCAGGCCTGGACTGCCCCGCAGAATGTCCGTCAGGTCCGGTCCTTTATTGGACTGGTGGGATATTATCGTCGGTATATTCCTGCATTCGCAAAGATTGCTGCTCCTCTCCATGGCCTGCCACGAGGTATGGCAACCACTCACAAGACTGCACCTATCCATTGGACAACGGAGTGCGAACAGGCGTTCCAACAGCTGAAGGAAGCTCTGGTGAGTCCTCCCATTTTAGCTTATGCAGATTTTAATCTGCCTTTCCGTTTGTACACAGATGCGAGCCTGGAGGGTCTGGGTGCAGTGCTGGCCCAGGTTCAGGACGGAAAAGAACATGTCATTGCCTATGCCAGCCAAAGTCTCCACCCTACTGAAAGGAACGACCAGAACTACAGTTCATTCAAGTTGGAACTGCTGGCCCTTAAGTGGGCAATGACTGATAAGTTTAAAGTTTAAAGACCGACAACAATCCACTTGCACACTTGGAGACGGCGAAGCTTGGAGCGGTAGAACAACGGTGGGCAGCCCAGCTAGCCAACTTCAAGTATACAATCCGATATCGTCCGGGGACTGCCA